CTCTAAACAATACGCATTTTACTATTCTAACTTTCACGTTTTCACGATTTTTGAAAAAGCTAGTTAGATAGGCTGCATATATATTTGGATAAGAGGGGTGTGCGATAGACTTACCTCCACGTGGTGCACCCTGGGCAACGTATAATCATACGCAAAATAGTCTATCAAACCGGCTGTTGACTTCTGACTTCAAACTACCATCGCCCCAATGTATGTCATATTCGAATTCTTCCACAATACTCATCTCGTCTTTTTATACCTTTGTGTCTGTCTCTTTTACATCTTTGAAACACTCTTCTGTTCCCTCCCCAACCCCTCTCGACTTTTTTTCCCTTTGATGTTCCTCCTTCCCCCCTGTGAAGCCTGAATTCAACTAGAGGGTTAATGACAACCATCAAAACGCCCGCCATTTGACATAAATAAATGTTTGAATAAGCTATGTAAACGCACCAAATTGACATTTGTACGTGTATGAGACTAATTGACCTCATTTTGAGTAGTGACTTAGGAAAGATTTACTTGAATAAATACGTAGAAATCTGGCAGACTTATGCAAATATGCTGGTTTTGTTTTGTTAAGGGTTCCATATTTTTTGTTGAATACCTGGAAAAAAGCATATGTCAGCCATTTTTGAGTCAAAATTGGTATCTCATGTGATCATGAAATTAAATTTGCACAAATTACTGCGCATTTTTCATAGACTTCCAAATAAATCATTTTATTTAAGTAATGCTTATGCACTAGAATGAAGACTCCTCAAGAATGCCTCGAGGCATTCAACATCTCAATGGACTAATGAGAAGGAGGAAGAAGAACATGCTCATCCAATGCGTTTGGAATAACTTAAAATATTTCGCGTTAGAATGGAAAATCGAGTTTGTTTGAATATTCTTATGAAAGTTAAAAACTCAATACTGTGGAATGGTTGTTCTACAGCTCTGCCCAAGTAGAAGATTTACCTATTAGATGGGCATTAAATGGTTTGTCTATCTAAGACATATCTACTTAATAAGGATGCTTCAGTGTCATCCTTTAATCAATTCTTCAATATGGGTTTTATATCTACGTTTAGTTAAACGGTTAGTAAAACCTAGATAAATAAAATATTTTTTCCAGTAGAGTCAGCGTGACCTTTTCAATGTTTGCTTTGATTCACCAAACTGATTATGACATTTTCTTTAATTTTCAATTTTATTTGTCGTTCATTCTACGTGAGTTATCCTCTTAATCGCTGATTTTGATTGTGCCTGAGTAATGTCCCATGGCAAATCAGAATTATGATTAAATATCGGCGGTTAATTTGAGTGACTTTTCAAAGTACAAATGCGAACGTTCTCTGACAAGCCGATGAAGAAGTGTTTACATTTCTGGAGCACAAATCTGTACCTTTGATTTGACTCTGCTCACCTCTTCCCAGTGATTTGACACTTAACTCTCTGATCACCTAAAAACTGTCTGCCAAATATTGCTGATACGGAAAAATAAATCTTTGAACTTCAATACGATTGACTCCATATTATTACAGCCAATTGTATAGTCAGTCACACATCAAATACTTCAATTAACAAGGTAATGAACAGTACCATCTATTTCTTCCGACTGTTTTTCGGTTGACCTTTTGGATCTACTTCTGGGATCTTCGACGTTTATAGTATCGATAACGGCTCTTCGGATTCGAAAAAGACTTCTGAATCTTGTCCACCAGGAGGTCTTAACTGAGGGGCCCTTTTCGTTTTCAACAACAACACCCTCTCTGCCGGACATAGCGCGTTTGCAAATGAGCTTATTTTTGAAATCCTTCAAGTAATTGGCACAGCGACGATATACTTGAGTATTTGATTTCTTCAAACGGACGTGACTTGCTGCCCACGTTGTAATAACGTAGAGTATGTACAACATAATAAAACCTGAAATGAAAAATCGATTTTTCAACCGACGAGCACAAACGTGCATTTATTAAAATCCATACCTATTGTTTGGTAGCCACTCAGGTAATTTCATTTCTAGCAGGTTAGTAGACTGCGCTTAGTAACTCAGCCATTTTTTATCATCTCCTTAAATTACTCAACTGTGGTCTACTTTGTGTTGCTTTATGCAGTTTATAGTAGCATCACAGCAACGCGCTTATGATATTCTGCAGTTAAGGCTCAACAACGAGTATTTGAAACACCCTAATTGTTCATCAGTTCTTAAATAATACTGATTTTTACATATTCCCACAGGCTTAAAATTTCTTCCACATTTCCGCAACGTTCAGCCTGAATGAGGAACTTTACTTTCAATAATTATATATTAAAGCTAACGCTTTCGGTTATTTACACTTTCTTTGATTTATTTCGACATACTAACTCTCGAGTTACAATTCAGATTAGTAAATGGAAAGATGCGCCGCTACGACAAAATTTTTTTCCTGAATAAATTAATTAAAAATTTTGTCTGAACTCTTATGGAAGTTGAATGTCTTTCTGCATGTCGCTAAGAGTTTTAATTGCATAATTTAAAATAAGCCTACAAGAGGTGAAAGGATTCACAGATGGAAAGATGGACTGACATACCTATGGAATCGCTGAGTTTAATGGAGCGTCGAATGAGAATGACTGCACTCCAGCTCACAGCGCTCATGTAGAAGATAACATCTTTTATAAATGGTCGACGATTTGTGGCAAATGGTCGGATTATCATAATCAGTCCAGCAGTGACCGTGTTTACCAAGAGCCCCGAGCCTAGGTTTGAGAAGACCAATAAATGATGACCATATGTCTCCTGTTATTGTTGTTGCACACACATGTAGACAAATATAGCTTTTCATTGAAAGAATTATGGCTTTATTTCTTCACATTCTTTTGCTTACTCATTGTCCTATTACTTCCAGTGTCAATTTGTGTTTCAGTTTTTTTTAAATATTACAGATGTTACATTATAGACTCCCGTTGACCAAACTATTAACTCAAACTGAAAAGGATTATTCAAAAAAGGCTTGATAATTTAGATGTTGATAGTATATCGAATGTAATATTCAAGTATACTATTTTGTCAAAAGAAGTAAGATGAATTTATAAGATTATGCAAAATGTTTCTTCAAATTGTCATTAATTAGGTATTGGTAAGATAGGTGTAAACTTGACATCAGAAGATCAATTTCATTAACGTTATAATTTGCCGAGAGCTTTTGTTTAAGTTAAGGACATTAGTTTTCTCACTTGAGGAATAGATTCAATGGTAAAGGCGTGGAAGAGTAGCGAATTTGCTATTATCTTACGTAGAGGAGCTTAGTGAATCCATAAATTAATACGTAAGGCTTCTGATTCGGTAAAATTGGATGTGATGAGCTTAGTAAGACATAACTCTAAAGATAGATAAATCACGATCTGCGTTTCCTATATAGTGAACTTCAGATGGACCAAATGCTCAAACAATGAAGGCCAAATGAACAAGTAGATGATAAACGCAACTTGAGTTATACAGAAATCTTTCGGTACATTATCAAGTTCTACAACTTTTACAATCACCTAGCTCAACCTCAATAACTGTACTATCGACAATTATATATGTCTTGTCAAGATAATATGCTTGGTCCGAATATCACTTTTTATGGGCTTAATGGGCAATATATTCCAGTCCCTGAATAAACTAAAAATTCATTAATTTAAATGATGAATATAATTAACGAGCACAATTGTGTGATAAGCTCATTTTTATTCTTTACGACCGTGTTGTATAACCAACCTTATAGAAGCAGAAAGAGGAGAGAGAAGTAACTTTTTCTTCCAATGGCGATAGACTTAAGAGGAACCACACGAAAAGCGCTGAGTTCAAACTGCTGCTAGGCAATGAATGAATCGATAATTGCGATAACCACATAGCCTAAGTGTATTTGAGGTGGAAGTAAATTTTGGTGTTTATTAATTAGTCATTGGTGCCCTAACTCTACGCTATCGCTATGCCTGACCTTGCTTCAATCACTAGGTTTTCACTCTAAAATTTGTACTTACCCATGAGAAATCCCAGACCGAGACCTTCGTCGGGAGCCTCAGGATTTCCAGTTGTGATTGCGGTAACTGCGCTGAATACATCAGGTGCTCCGTTTCCAAATGCCAATAACGTTACACCCTGTTGGTTATTATTTTGTGGTATAGATCATCATTACTTATTACTGTCAAATTAAGGGGTGCGCGATAGACTTACCTCCACGTTGTGCACCCTTGACAACGTATACGCATACAGTAATAAGGCCTATAAATCGGCAGTTGGCTCCAAACTAGCATGACCAGATTATATGTCATATTCAGCCACTTCCACAGTACTCACCATACATTTTTTCTCTCCCTCTGTGTCTGTCTTTTTTACATCTGTGAATCGCTCTTCTGTTCTCCCCTCTCAACTTTTTGTGCCTCTGATGTAACTCTACGAAGCCCGAAGTCAACCAGTGTGCTAATGATAACTACCGTAAAGCCCAAAATTTGATATATATAAATAAACAATACAATTAACCCGTAAGGGAATAATTGGCTTAGTTTGATTTTATCAAAGTGATTTGTTTGAATACGAAACTGGAAATAAATATACTCATAGCATTTTGAATGCTTAATATCTTCCTCATCTTCTTTTAACGTAATAGTCACCATTTATATAAAAAGAGACGTTTAAACAATGTGACATTATATTTTTGATGAGGAATCTTAATTTTCAACACTGAATTGCATCCCAAGAAAATAAACTCGTAAAATAGTGGATGTTTATTGTCTGCTTGTGAAAAAGTGTACGGTTAGATAACATTGCAATGAGTCGTTGGCGAAGAAACTTGAAAAAGGCTTTTCAATAACTAGAATTTTAATTTAATCTAGAATATGGTTTAGCCTTTGAGCATTTCATTCGTGTCTAATTTTATAAAAACAGTACACCCTCAAGTATTGTTTAAATTTATTACACGAGTATAAATTAAAACATACCGCAAGATTTTGACTCATGTGCATTGAACGCGCTAGAGCGATTAATGATGGACTAAAGCTAAAATTGGGAAAAAAATATTTAAGCGTTTTTACATCGCATCTGATTTTAAAACGAAAAGAAAGCGCCAAGATTATATAAAAGGGTCATAGATGTGGCTTCTTGACTTACAAAGAGTCGGCGATAACTGCGAAGGCACCGAGTAAGGTGAATAGCCACAAAACCTAAAACGTATTTTGAATATGAAATGTAAATTAACTTTTTAGAATCAACTATTCTCACGGCAGAAAAAGGATCTTTTACTTGGGTGTTAATAAGCGTAAAATAATGTGATAGGAAATCGATAGGAAACATTTAAATACAGCTACATAAATAAGCACCTTAATAATCTTAGTCCTGCATTGGATATGTGGAATTTATTCGAAACTCGTTCTTATACATTTAATATACGACTTGTAACTAATAGGTAATCATATTTGCATCAATCTTTGGTTCTGGGTGGGAAATATGCCATTTCCAGTCCAAAGAAATTAAAAATTTGATTTATATCTTCTAAAGAGTCAAGTAAAATCGCATTCTTTTTAAGGAAATAATTAGGAAAAACATTTCAAATTTTACAGATATTTAGAGCTAACTCTAGCACGGATCCTAAAATTTTTGTTTGTGGGTAGATTCTACGAAAAGTGAACGCCACCCTGACGAAATATTATGAACACGTTTAAAAAAACTAAATTAAACATAATAAAGAAATTTCAAGATGAAATAGTAAAGATGAAAATGACACGTTTTTTATTATGAAATGATCAATAATCGTTTAGATAAATTGATTCACTAAAACAAACACTCTAACGAAGCACTCTTTCAGCAAGTTTTTGAAAAAATTGCTTTAGGAAACAATTGAATTCGCGCATGTTATTAATATCAAAATTTTGTCGACATCTCTAAAGAAATACGCGTTCATCATACATCATTTTAAGAGTACTTTAAGCTGTTTTCAATTGACATTTTGCAGAAATACAAAAACGACAGAATGAAATTTGTCACGGTTTCACATCGTGAAACCTCAGCAAATCGAATGGGGAAAGTTAAAAATGAAGAAAGAGAAGACGCATTTAACTAAATGCGTGAAATGCTGCATGGGATTCGGAGCATCTCCACTTTCCTCACAAAAAGTTTGCTTTCATTATCAATTTAGCTTTTTGTCTAATGAGGGTTTAAAATTCCAAGTAAATCCGTTCGTAAGCTACGAGTTAATGTGCATGATTACTGTTTCAAAAGGATCGCTTCGATTATGCAGTTCTGAAAAACCTTCACTGAAACAATATTGCCATGTTCGCGAAGTTTCTACAGGCATTTACCTCGAAGGAAAAAGAGCTCTTCCCAGTTAAATGCGTTAAAATTGCTGATATTGATGAAGTCGGTCGCCAACTCAGAATTTCCTGGAAAATTTATTCCAAACGAAATTTTTATGCAAATAACCTTCGCACAAGAAAAAGGTTAGTAAGAAACTAGAAACAAACTCGAATTACAACTGGTTCAAATGATGTCAAAGTTATTTCAACTAAATAGTACAGAAGACTTATTCGCACTAGAAAGGCCCAAATAAAAGTAATATACCAGTCACTTGTATAATATTTTAAAGCTCCCAAATTGCTAATGGTTGGTATTTACCAGTTTATAAAACAGATGTTTCCCTAGGACATAAATTTTATTCCAGATAGTATGTTATTAGTTTTAATTTAACCTTAACTGAACATATATATTTAAACATTGCATTAAAACTTCAAATAACGGGTGGTTTTAACAACATAAAGATATTGAACATTCATTAAGACTTTGGTTTAGGTAGCAGAAGTCAAATACAAAGCGAACGAGATCGTTCGCCAGCAAAATTGCGCAATTAATTTCCTAAACGACGTCATACCAAGTTTCGATTTTCGGTTAGGTTAAGATTCCTGTATATGGTGCACCCGATGATTTACACACAGAAAATATTCAACTCTCAAGGATTTACCATAAGAACAGTGGGCACAACAGGTGATGAAAACTGGCAATACAGAAACTCCAAATAGGAGATAAATCCAGAGTCAAAACGACAACCTCGGAAATCCCTAGCAACGTCACATTTCGCTGAATGTCCTGGAATTTGCTGTAAGGCATGTCGACAGACGGAGGAATTGGGGGCATCTCCTCTGTCTGGACCTCCCTGCGGACCCCTCATGACGTCCGTAAGGGGGTATGTTGCTGTGGCAATGCCAACATGGGCACCAGCTACAAGGACAACGCCAAGGAGAATGGGAAAAACTGTTTGGAGGGATCGGAGTCTTTTTCGCCGAAAAAGTGAAAACAGCGGCAATGACCTCGACGTCGACGACGCACAAGCTGCACTAGCTGAGCCTGACTTTTGATGCATTTATCGCGGGGGTTGCATTACAAAGTGTGGTTTGATGTGGTGGGTCTGTTAAAAGTAAAACGATTCAAGCGCACCAATGGAGACGTCTATGTTAGCTCCCGGGGCGTCGCTTTTAAATAGTGAGTACGTGCACACTGTTAAGCACACCATGGAGAGGTTATTACGACTCGTATGACTGCGCACGCACAAGGGTGTCGTGCGTGCATGCTCCTGAGAACTTTAATTTCACCGTCTCACCATGTTGTGTGTGTGTGTGTGCGAATGCTTATGAATGTGAGCAAAACCCAATTGTCGTCCGATCAGAAAAATACCCTCATAACAGATGATCATTCATCCCTCGGCCAATATAAATTTTTGGCGCGTCTGTACAACCTATTTCAGCCAATCAGCAATCGACTCTGCTCAATATGCCATTAACCACGATTATTATTTCCTCGTATTACTGCAAAGGCATTTTACGCTTTTAAGGGATGGAAGCAAGTGCGACCATTAACACGAAGCTTAGTAAATTCCAACAAAAAAATTATTATTTATTTCAGATAACAGAATTCCACTTTGATCGGTGCCAATTGGTTATTTGTTTGATTGCTATATTCAGTCTTGTCAAGTAACTACATCGTTCCCCCCAAATTCTTAGAAAGCGAGATGATCTTGCATGATTCTATGATATTTTCTTGATTTAAAATGGAAGGATAAAGAAGGAAGTTACTATTGTGCATTTTTATCGAGCTGATTAAAATGTCCCTAATGATTCCAATAAATGCAAATAAATTATTTTCAATTTTGCATTCCTATGGGACAAATAATGGGCATTGCCAATATTAAATTTTCTGAATGCTAAATGGAATTAGGCATGAGAACATCTGACCACAGTTTATGCAAATGTTTAGGTGGAAATAATGTGAAATAAATTCAAGTTGGTTCGCGGAGTAACAAAGATCACGATGAATTTAAATTAGCCCTCTGTTTGCGTATGACAAAGTCAACCTTATAGCAAGTAACGCTTTTTAGATGATAAAGTCTCACATAAATAGTAAAATGAAAAGGAATAATTTTTAAATGAATAGGTCTTAAATAAATGTTGGTACTAATGAAATAAGTACTAAATCTCCACCTCGACGATCTGCCAGAAAAAAGTCTCTAAAACAATATTCAGAAAATAAAGGTATTTAAGTAACTGAGACTGGTAAGATATCATCTTTTTATTTTGCCACGTATTGGCAAGAGAGTTATTGCGCTGTTTATTAATATCACCAAATTACGATCTAGAAAACGTTTTTACAGTTCAGATGACAAGTCAGTTGCATAAAACATTGTATCAAAAAACGCAGTCTGCACAAGCAGTGAATAGACTTTAGTATTTTATTTAGTGAATGATGAGGATCAGATTTACGATTTGTAGATAATTAATTTTCCTCCATAACGCAAATTACAGGCAAACACCCCTTTCCATTAAAGTCTTCGTGGCCAGAGGATTTGTTTGCGCATTCTCTCCTCTTTCAGTGCTCACCCAGGAACATATCAAGGCGAGGATTGTGGACGCACCAACTCAAGAACAATTTGTTTGCATTCAATTATGCTTCAATTTCAAAAGACCGTGTGTTCATGCTATTGCTGTCGTGGATTTAAAAAGCAGCTATTATTTTATAAATTGCAATTTGAAAAGTTGTGTATTTCTTTCTTTAAATAGGGAAGAAACTAACCTCGAGAGGAACTTTTAAAAATTAGGACAATCCTTTTCAATTAATTTAATTTCTGAAATGTCAAGACATTTTTATTGTAAATAAAAGCATCTTATCTTCATAACACAAATGTAAACATTATAAATATTTGTATTTAAATGCACTTTAAGTTAATAATTGATGGCATTCTGATAAAACAAGGTGATGTTTGACCTCCTACTTTACAAATGTGAAGATAACTTAAGTTCTAATACAAGGTCATTGGGTTGATTAATAGAATATCTCATGGATCAACTGAAATCCGCCTTGATATTCTCACTCATATCAGAGTCTATTGGATTTATTGATTGTAACTGTCAAGGTGACAGAACTGGATTTGCTAGCAGCGCTACAGAACACAAGAATCATACTGTGGGACACGTTATCGTTCTGTGCGTCATCGTATGCCTGCATGTCTGCTCGCCAGGA